ACATAGGAAGCCTCAACACACGAATTTATTGATATTATTATTATTGTTATTATTATTATTATTATTATTATTATTATTATTATTATTATTATTATTATTATTATTATTATTATTATTATTATTATTATTATTATTATTATTATCATTAATCAGTATTCCTATAATTAATTTCACAGAGAAGCGCTAAACATGTCAAGGTCATTCAACACCTGGGGAATGTAATGCTATCAAAATTAATCAAAGGAAAAGGAGGGTAGTTCCAAATACTTGGATCAACACCTCTTCCTCAGCACCTAGGCACCATACTCTTCCTCAGCATCTAGGCACCATACTCTTCCTCAGCATCTAGGCACCATACTCTTCCTCAGCATCTAGGCACCATACTCTTCCTCAGCATTAGGCACCATCCTCTTCCTCAGCATCTAGGCACCATCCTCTTCCTCAGCACCTAGGCACCATACTCTTCCTCAGCATCTAGGCACCATACTCTTCCTCAGCATCTAGGCACCATACTCTTCCTCAGCATCTAGGCACCATCCTCTTCCTCAGCATCTAGGCACCATCTTCTTCCTCAGCATCTAGGCACCATCTTCTTCCTCAGCATCTAGGCACCATCTTCTTCCTCAGCATCTAGGCACCATCTTCTTCCTCAGCATCTAGGCACCATCTTCTTCCTCAGCATCTAGGCACCATCCTCTTCCTCAGCATCTAGGCACCATCCTCTTCCTCAGCATCTAGGCACCATCCTCTTCCTCAGCATCTAGGCACCATCCTCTTACTTTCAAGGTAATAGTTGTAGAGGAAATTTCGTGCCAAGTCTCAGAGACAAACTAACAGTTACTTTCTCAATGGAGACTCTCCACGCGCGTATAAAAGTTACCTGCTGGGTAAAAATTCATAAAAATCTATGGAACTGTGCAACAGTAGTTCATAACGGTAGTCGCTTAGCTAATTAGGTGAGCTGGGATACTGGGTAATCACAGTAACACACCAGGTGAAGTAGGTGCTGCAGAAGCTTCAGTAATCCAACACCCAGGCTCACCTGCACCTGCTGGGTCTCCTGGTAAACTGAAGGTGACCTCAAAGACACACTTCAGCGTTTATGAAACACGGGGATTAATGCACGTGTATTGTATACATTATCGACAGAATAAAGAATTAGACACATGTGCAACATCTGGGTATCTTTATCTGGATGGCGAAACTCTATAAATATAGATGCCCAGATTTTACAAATGTGTCCAGTTTTTTACATGTGTTAATCTACTGAAACGAATATACTGTATATCTCTTAAACACTTAGTATATACTGAGGGCTTAATCCCCATTTTTATATTAAATTATAATTAGCTTGTAATGTGCAGGGAAGAAATACAATCATAATGACTCTCGTACAGACGTCAGAATCACTACCTAATAAATTAACCAACCTTCCTCATCCCCGTACAGTGTAGCATCTCTCGCATCACTACCGTCAAACTGAAATGAACCTGATCACGTCGGAAACACATTTCAGCAGAAAAAAAATTGGTTGACCATGGAGAGAGGCGACATAAGTACCTGCTTACCCACGAGGCTGCCATCTTGCCTTATTTAAATTCTTTAATTTATTGACGAGGATCCCCACGTCACCTTAATTCTTCCTGTAAACTTACAAATATAAATTGTCTATACTTTGCGTTAGGTTAAGCGGAGGTTAAGTTAAGTTTATATATACGATTATCATATGTGATACGAGAATGTACGGTTATCATTAGTGATACGAGAATGTACGGTTATCATACGTGATACGAGAATGTACGGTTATCATATGTGATACAAGAATGTACGGTTATCATTAGTGACACGAGAATGTACGGTTATCATATGTGATACGAGAATGTACGGTTATCATATGTGACACGAGAATGTACGGTTATCATACGTGATACGAGAATGTACGGTTATCATATGTGATACAAGAATGTACGGTTATCATTAGTGACACGAGAATGTACGGTTATTATATATGATACAAGAATGTACGGTTATCATTAGTGACACGAGAATGAACGGTTTTTCATATGTGATACAAGAATGTACGGTTTTTCATTAGTGACACGAGAATGTACGGTTTTTCATATGTGATACGAGAATGTACGGTTATCATATGTGACACGAGAATGTACGGTTATCATATGTGATACGAGAATGTACGGTTATCATATGTGATACGAGAATGTACGGTTATCATTAGTGACACGAGAATGTACGGTTATCATATGTGATACGAGAATGTACGGTTATCATACGTGATACGAGAATGTACGGTTATCATATGTGATACAAGAATGTAGGGTTATCATTAGTGACACGAGAATGTACGGTTATTATATATGATACAAGAATGTACGGTTATCATTAGTGACACGAGAATGAACGGTTATCATATGTGATACAAGAATGTACGGTTATCATTAGTGACACGAGAATGTACGGTTATCATATGTATACGAGAATGTACGGTTATCATATTGACACGAGAATGTACGGTTATCATATGTGATACGAGAATGTACGGTTATCATATGTGATACGAGAATGTACGGTTATCATTAGTGACACGAGAATGAACGGTTATCATATGTGATACAAAAATGTACGGTTATCATTAGTGACACGAGAATGTACGGTTATCATATGTGATACGAGAATGTACGGTTATCATATGTGATACGAGAATGTACGGTCATCATTAGTGACACGAGAATGAACGGTTATCATACGTGATACGAGAATGTACGGTTATCATATGTGATACGAGAATGTACGGTTATCATATGTGATACGAGAATGTACGGTTATCATTAGTGACACGAGAATGAACGGTTATCATACGTGATACGAGAATGTACGGTTATCATGTGTGATACGAGAATGTACGGTTATCATATGTGATACGAGAATGTACGGTTATCATTAGTGACACGAGAATGAACGGTTATCATACGTGATACGAGAATGTACGGTTATCATATGTGATACGAGAATGTACGGTTATCATATGTGATACGAGAATGTACGGTTATCATTAGTGACACGAGAATGAACGGTTATCATACGTGATACGAGAATGTACGGTTATAATTAGTGACACGAGAATGAACGGTTATCATATGTGATACAAGAATGTACGGTTATCATTAGTGACACGAGAATGTACGGTTATCATATGTGATACGAGAATGTACGGTTATCATTAGTGAGACGAGAATGTACGGTTATCATATGTGATACAAGAATGTACGGTTATCATTAGTGGCACGAGAATGTACGGTTATCATGTGTGATAGGAGAATGTACGGTTATCATTAGTGAGACGAGAATGTACGGTTATCATATGTGATACGAGAATGTACGGTTATCATTAGTTATACAAGAATGTACGGTTATAATTAGTGACACGAGAATGTTCGGTTATCATATGTGATACGAGAATATACGGTTATCATTAGTGAGACGAGAATGTACGGTTATCATTAGTGAGACGAGAATGTACGGTTATCATTAGTGATACGAGAATGTTCGGTTATCATATGTGATAGGAGAATGTACGGTTATCATTAGTGAGACGAGAATGTACGGTTATCATTAGTGATACGAGAATGTACGGTTATCATATGTGATACGAGAATGTACGGTTATTATTAGTGATACGAGAATGTACGGTTATCATTAGTGATACGAGAATGTACGATTATAATTAGTGACACGAGAATGTACAGTTATCATATGTGATACGAGAATGTACGGTTATCATTAGTGGCACGAGAATGTACGGTTATCATATGTGATACGAGAATGTATGGTTATCATTAGTGGCACGAGAATGTACGGTTATCATATGTGATACGAGAATGTACGGTTATTTTTAGTGATACGAGAATGTACGGTTATCATTAGTGATACGAGAATGTACGATTATAATTCGTGACACGAGAATGTACGGTTATCATATGTGATACGAGAGTACGGTTATCATTAGTGATACTTCACGCAGTGTAATAAACCGTAAACTAATCAGCCTCCTACTACACCTGGAGCGTTAAACCACAGTAGTATAAGTTGGTCGATCTAGAAACACTGCCGGATAATGACCATGGAAAATGAGATAATGAGGGGGTCTGCATGACCTTAGGGCTGACAGGGTATGAGTTTAATATGTTTAATCATCCCCCAAGGGGATAGAGGTTCCTTATTCCTATGCATTAATAAGTAGGTACATAAGTAGAACAAAGGATTCAGGTGTGCAGGTGGCAGATTCCAGGATAATGAGTGTGGAAAAGAATGTGATAATGGGGGGTCTGCATAACCTCAGGTGCTGTCAGGGGTACAAGTTTAATATGTTTAATCATCCCCCAAGGGGATAGAGAGACTTATTTCTGTGTAATTACTAAGTATAAGAAGGTAGGTAATGATCACTTCTGACTCCCCAAACTCAATCACTCTGATAGATGGGAGAGGCAGTACAAAGGATTCAGGTGACTGGGTACAAGCTTGCCATCTCCGAGGGAGTCCCCCCCCCCTTCCCGGGCCTGCAACTCACTGACGCGACTGTTGCTACTTCACAACACTGCTGGGTTTAAAGAACGCGGTAATGGATGGGTAGCTGGTCCCCGAGGGAACCGGATTCCGGGATAATGACCATGGAAAATAATGTGATAATGGGGGGTCTGTATGACCTTAGGGCTGACAGGGCTGTTTATTCTTGCAGCTGCTAGATCTTTTCAGGTGGGGGGAGGCTTAAAGCAGTGAGAAAGGTCATCTAGGGAAGACCTTTGTGCTGATAGAGCTCTTATAGGAACTTTGACATATACATTTTCCTCTTACCCACTCTCAGATGGGGAGAGGCTTAAGTGGTGCGATATTGTTTATATATATATATATATATATGTTTAGACTAGAGAAGATAGTAATATATAGTTATATGTAAATAAAAATCAGAGTTTGACAATATTTTTATTAATTCACATACAAAAGGGCAAAAGCTGTGCAAAGTTTTTTTAGCGCGAGCAAAGGGGCGAAACTGTGCGAGTTTTACTGGTTAGACTGAATGACTGCGCTCCTCCTGTTCACTTTCTGTAAGATTGATAACCTCCCGCTCGAAAATGATTTCCTTTTCAGGTACATCATCATCTGCCTTTACCCCATCTGCTGTCTTTACTCCATCTGCTGTCTTTACTCCATCTGCTGGCTTTACTCCATCTGCTGGCTTTACTCTCACGTCGGGGGTTTTCCCTTCCTTCTCCGACTGACTGTCAGGGTGCGCTTCAAGGTCGCCAGTTTGTTCAGCACCTGCTGCGGCAGTGACCTCAACAGAGTCATCAGATTGAGCAGTATCGAGCGTAGAGAGGTCCACAACGAGGTCATCAGACTGACATGAGGGAAGGTTCTGCGTTTCATCGTTGTCGAGATCTGGTTCTTTCTTCATAGGCTCCTCTATATCAGATGAACTGATCCCATCTTCCACAGGCTGTAAGTCATAAAGAGAACATATTTATCACTTTCAAATAAAGGAGTGGGACTCGTCTCTAATCTACCAAAGGAGGGAACATAGAAAGGACATACCCTTTCCTGAGGAAGTCTATGTTTGCGTTTCCTGCTATCATCACAATGACACCGCTTTAGGAGTTTGATGCCGGCGTGTTCCTTCCCTTCCAATCTACCAGCTGATAAAATCAAAACTTTACAAATTCTGACTGGCCCAGTGAAAACTGTTGAAGAAAAAAAGGAGACTCAACTTTAAAATTATTATAAGTCTCTTGCGCTCGTTTGTTTCGTTAATATTCAAAGAGAAGTATCCAATCTACCAGCCGATAAAATCAAAAACTTTACAAATTCTGACTGGTCCAGTGAAAACTGTTGAAAAAAGAGACTCAACTTTAAAAATTATTATAAGTCTCTTGCGCTCGTTTGTTTCGTTAATATTCAAAGAGAAGTTTTAGCAAAATAAATGTCTCGCTTACCAGAATCGAGAATGTCTGCTTCCTTCACCATGATGAGAGTAAAAGGCTATGGAGAGGTCAGCCTCTATCTTTTGCGGGGAAGACAGCTTCAGCGGGCTCTTATATACAGCTCAGAGAGGGCCTTACCAGCCAGGAGGGGTATTTGGGGGGATACTCTCGTCAGAGGTGACCTTCCTCACAGAGGGAAGCACAAATATAACCTTGACTACTTAGGCAAAATGTATTTTCACAAGGAGGTAACAATTTTAAAATTCTCTCTAGCATATGCTATCACTAATCTGTCATTGATAAAAAGCGATTTTTCCGAGAATTTTTTTTTAAAAAAATATAAAGCTCTTTCTAATCCCACAAGGCTTGCTTTATGAATAAACATCATAACATATAGACCGCAAGTGAGTGAAAAATCACTTTGTGTTTCTGCGGATAAACGATATAAATATTTAATTTTATTTAGTTTAAAAAAAATTTTTAAATTTATGCCATAATTCTCTGGTTTTTTCCCGTAACTGTCAAAGAAGAAGGATAGACTATTTTTCTTGTCCAGAGAAGAGAAAAAAAATGACCCATTACTTTTGAACTGTCGAAGGAAGAATATTACTTACAAGCACTATGGGCCTGTTGAGGGATAGTCATCTAATCTTATTTGCTGTAGAGCGTCTATTAGTGAAACAGCCAATATATGTGACTTTATTTCCTAGGGCGGGAATTAAACTATTATTTATTTCTGCGCAATTCATTTTTTATTTATGCTCGCACATCACAATGAACAGATCTATTCTGGTCGATGGATAAAACACCAGTGGTCTGAGCAAATAATAAAACTACCTTATTATGAGGGGCGGGCTTAGAGAACTGTAATTCAATTCTCAAGTTACCAGATTTTTCAATCGGGAGAGCGTCTTCCACTTGGCTGTCGGTTAAATTGAAAATATTGATATTTCGCCCGGAGGCGAATGATTCATAGAGAATTAAATTTTCTTCCTCAATGCCCAGAGAGTTAATTGCCTCATAATATAATTTACTATAATGATGGGGGAAATCACTGCTTATGCGATAAACTGTATTATTATTAATACATACAGATAAACTGGCTAGATCCCCATGCTCAAAATATAGACCATTCTCCTTATGTTTTCCTGCATAGGCTGTCATGGGCAAAATTACCATAAAAATTTTGGCGGGAAATTACATGACCCATGGCTGATCTATTAGGAGGCTCGTTTGATTGTGACCTAGCACATAATTTTTACTTAGAGTGCGATTAAAAGTATATATTATCGGCTTTGCGTCTAAGGCTAGAGACTTGTTCAAGGCCATATAAGCTGATGTATATGGGTATACCCTATTAAGCCATAGCTTAGCGTAATTAATATGGAGCTGGTATGTGCTGGCATCATCGTCTGTTTTCAGAGTCCACGCTTGAGGGGATAATTCCAGCCTAATTTTTAAATCGATATTGTCAAGCAGATATTGGTCCAGAGTGGATATGTCCAGAGCCAAGGGAAAACACAGAGTTATGCCCTGTTCTTTATCATTCTTTGTCAGTATCTGTGGTTCTTTTGCCGATGTGCGGGCGAAATAGGCTGTATCGAACAATTTAGTTATACCTTCTCCTTTAAAGTCGGGCAAGAGATACCCCAGTCGGGCGATACTCGGCAACTGGCTTCGTTTTACTGAGCTGCAGAGTTTAATGAATGACCAGTAATTAAAACTAGAATTTGTTTCCGTTATTTGCTCGCCCAGGAAACACTGGACACTTTTAAATAACGTGTTGGAAAATCCATTTATGAGGGCGATGTTGCTTGTTTCCCCTAGTGGACTTTGCCCATCAGCCTCTGTTAGAGTCACTCTAAATTCTATAACTATTTTGCCTAAATCTAGAAATGCCCCGGGAACTCCAGGAATTCTTAATTCTAGAAAATTATCTTTTAGTTTTTGAGAGAGAGGAAGGTTTACTGGTAGAGTATCAAAACTCTGAGTGCGAGCTATGGAACTCTCAACTTGTCTCAGTCTATGCGGTCGCGGGAATTGATTAATGACGCTTGAAGAATAATCATTTAACGGGACTTTGAGTCCGCTGTTTTCAGCCCCGACACCCGCCATGGCTAATAAGCAACTGTTTATACGAGAGAGAATACATCCGTTTTATAAGCAACTTGGCTTCGTCGGCGTTTATTTAACTTGCATTTATTATTCAGCCGTCTCTTAGTCACCCTGCTTACTCTGCCGCCTGTAATAACTGTCTTTGCAACTCCTTTTAAAGCATCTATCCCGTGAGATTTAAGAGCAGCTTTTCATGTCTGTTTTCCAGACTGATAATCATCGAGCATTTTAGTTCCAAATTCTACTGCACTTGGCGCAGCCACTCTGAAAAGAAAAGGTAAAGCTCTTTTAGCTAGACCCGCTAAAGCCGAAAAAAATCCCCCACCTCGGACTCTGTATGGCGCGTGAAAAGTTTGTATATCTCCCAGACCAGCTCCCACATGGGAGGGTTTTAGGGAGAATAAACTCCGAAATTCCTGCTCAGAGGGCACTTGAAAGGGTACACGCATGTTTGGCGGTTAGAGAAACAATAACCATTTTTACGCAGAGTTGGTTCTATTTATTTATCGGTCTTACATGTAACACTACGGTAGTGGAATGACCGCTTTCAAAAGACAGATTACGACCAAACTGATCTGTCATTTTGATAGCTATTTTATCTAATTTAGTTACGCATAGAGGTTTGTACATCATAGGATGAGCACCTTTTGAATAACTCTCCTGAAAGGCGAAAGCATCCAGAATATTGACTAACTGACTACGTATATTTGCGGTTCCACAATATCACTATATATTAAAACATAATCAACTCCGGCAGTGGGATGAGGTTTGAATGGGGCAATCTGCTTGGGGAAGGAGGTCCCCTCGGGCGCGTCACTACGAAATAAATAATATTTTTCAGCGCTGCTAAGCCCAAGCACCCGAGCTATTCTCGGTTTAAATTGAGCTTTAAATAAAGTGGCAGCATTGTTTTTTCCCATAAAGGTTCGCGATCTCGTCGAAACTAAACCCTCCCAATTCCGACATCATAATTGAGTATTTTCCCTTTCGGGAAATGTGCCGAATAATTATCTCTAAAGGCTTTTTTTTAAATATGCTGTTAGCTGTCGATTAATTTCTTCAATAATATGGCTGGCATCTGTCGATAACACATCATTTTTTGGTAGAAAGTGGTGGACTATTGCTTCTGTACTTATTCCTGTTTCAGTAATGTGATTTTGTATAATGTCAATACCGCATTCGGCATGTCTCTTGTTAGAACATTGAATTTTTTGGGATACAAAACATTAAGCAAGGCTATTTCGTAGTTCAAGGATGGATTTAAAGGCGTTGCAGTAATTATATTTTGAAAGGCCGAAGCTGTATTGTCGAAAATGTCAATATTTTCTTAAACTGCTCAAATAGATATATTTCCCCGGACCCCCTCTGTCCATGTTGAGGGACAGAGACAGTATGAGGCAAATACAAAATATAGACCATTATATATATTTTTTAAAGGCTTAAAAAAACTTTAGTTTGAAGACTTTACATTTTTATTTTTTTATTAGTTACAGCATTTAGGAATAAAATATCCACATCATCGTGCTGTCGTTTGCGTTTTCCGCGTGAGTGACCTCGACTCATCAGGCATGTCCATTTCACGCATGCCACTGTCTCGTTTAGTTCCAATCCCACCGGCTGGTCCGACGTCAGCACCGTTGACACCGCCGCTGCCGCTGCTGCTGCTGCTGCTGTTGCCGCTGCCGCCACCGGCACTGCTGCCACCGCTGATGCTGCCAGTGCCTTGCTTCTCCACAGACAGCTGTAGTATTTCCCATTCTAGAGCTTCGGGGGAGGCGCCGCGTTCAATTTCCACCTCATCTAGGATGATTTTAGGTACTGCCAAGTATGGGCTCACTGACGGTACGAGCAAGCATGTCTGAATTTCCCGTTTCAGTAATATGTCTTGAAATATGTTAATGAGAGGGAGATATTCAGTGTGCCATTCATCGGCCTGTTTTCTGCTCATGCATTACTGGGGTAAAATTACCCGTTTATGTTGCCATTGCTATCACCGCCCGTCCCAGGGACACCAGACATAATTTAAACCAAATTCGTCGATTCTTTTGCGTGTCCTTGCTCAAACCGCGTACATAATGCGTGTCGAGACTACGCTCTAATTGCTGTTGCGCATTTCATTCTTTTCAAGACAAGGACCCGCTGAGAACTGACATATTAGTGCTGCAAGGTGGGGTCTTAAAAATCCTCTGGCCTGTCGTCAAGGTGTGTTGGTGCATGGTGGGGGTGATTTTAGGACAATTTTCCCGGGTGTGCCCCAATCTGCAGCTATGGCACGGTTCACCAGGATTAGCGATTTTCGCTCAATTTTGGAAAAAGGATATTTTTCCCAGAGTGAAAGAGCCGGCTCATAGGGGCGAGCAGAAGTAGTGTTGTGGGGATACACGATACAATCCCCATATTCCAGGAATTCTTCACCCGTTATTCCCCCGACAATTACTGGAAATTTATATTCCATTCTCGTCAACAGTTGGGTTCCTTAGAGTCCTCGCTGAGGGAGTGAGACGGATAATGTTTATCGGTACGTCGGCGGCGGGGTTTAAATACCGCGCTGCTGTAGCCTCCCACTCCTGCGGGTGGGTTGGTAGGGGTTTGGGGGGCCTCTCTAGGTCGACATTCGTCTAAGGTGCTTATACAAGCTTTGGGCCCCTTCAAAAAACTTCTATCATATCCCGGAAATCATGCGTAGCATATTCTAAGCGTCTGATTTCAGCCGTCAGTTCTTTCTGATTAAAATTGTCATATAATTTTTCAATTTCATCAAAAGTCTTAGTAAATCTGGTCATGGGGCAATTGACTTTGAAGGATTCGTAGGTTTGCCATAAACTTTGTATCACACGAGCTTTGTAACACACTTGCTGATAAATCTTTCGTCTTGACGTTAATTGATGTAATAATATCGACAAACTGGGGTCCTTTTCTCCTTCTTCATTCAACGGGAGATTAATTCTCTCGGGATAATCAACTGATGGCTGGTCCATTTTTTTTTTTTTTTTTATGAATAGCACTTCGA